TCATCAATAAGAGAATAACGATAGATGGTTTCTAATTATACAATAATCTTATAAGTTTAACTAAAATACAAAGACCGGTCTCTTTAGCATATTAATAATTGTCATACCATAGTTCATTTTTAATAATATTTTCTAGATTTATTCAACAAATTTTAGAAACGATGCAAGCTAAAAAAAAGAAACAAAAAAAAAAAATTAAAACATGCACTATATTTTTCTTTGACTCTTTTTAATATACATACTTGCACATGTTCTCTTCTACACCAGATAATTTTTGCCTTCTGTAACTCCAATATCGCGCTTATTTAAAAACAATTTACAATAAGAATAGATCCTAAGTTAATTTCTAATCATATTGCCATACATTATGTATTATATGCACTGACTCAATTAGCAATTAGAGCAAGCACCCTCATTGCTATTTTGAATTAATGCAATCATAGAATACATTTACTATTGCTTTCACAATGTAATATGCAAGCTTTATTATGTCCGTAAATTATATGGTCACACTAATTCAAAAAAAAAAACGACTCTTTCACATACTCGATATTTTTATAACAAAAAAAATTTGAAACAAAGGTGTCAATTTTAGTGTTCCAATGTTCAATTTTAGAAAATATTTTTATTCAATGATATTGATTGTAAAAGTAATCAATATTAAAATTTCTTAAGTTAGAACGCATTAAAAATAATATAGCAATTCCACTTACATATAATTATACTGTAGCAATTCTACTTACATATAATTATACTATAGTAATTCCATTTAACCAGATCAAAAGAGAGAAAGAATAGTGAGTGTATTATTAAATATATTATGATTGATCATAGTATCTGTTTAAATTTCATCATTAATCACGCTATAGATTTCAAATTAAAAATTCGAACAATATCCAAATGATAATCACAGTGATTTATAGAGTATATATTTTCTTATGTGCATATGTATGTATGGCACGGGAAATCCAAAAACCTTGATCATTTTATATTGAATAAAGATCAACCACATATTGGAGATAAGCTAAATTCAGCAGCAGCTTATTTTAAGGATTTAATAATATGCATATGCAAAATAGTTGCTATTCTGTACATATTATTCTTAGTAAACTATTTCTACATATGTGAAAGATTGAGAAATTTTTCAATGTACTATCAAAATTTATACATTATCTCTATAAATTACTAAATTTTCTGCACCATACTAATATTTCTTCCATAGGCCAGGTGGGCCTAGTTGGGCCGGGCTTAATTTTTAATAAAGCCCGGCCCGGGCCCACTATACCGGGCTTTTTTTTTTTCGGGCTGGGTTTTGGGCCCAAAAATATTTTCCGGGCCTTGGTTTGGGCCTAACCAAGCCCGACCCGACCTGGCCCATCCCCTACTCTATTTATATGTGTTTTTTCATAGCAAATCGGGGCTTAAAGCTAATTTTTTAATTTGTAAATATCAATGATTAATTATTTTATACAACTTTTGGTAATTGTGATAAATTTAGATATTTGTATATAACATAGTTCGTGTATATACGAATTGCATTATATCTAATTCTGATATGTATATCAAATCGATATTGTTGCAGGTTTAGTGATAGCAATAGAAAATTTAAACTATTCTAATGTTAACAGTAATTAAATATTAGTGAATTAAGCCCAAATCTTAAAGAATTGAATTTCTTGATAGTTTAGCACGGGTTTAGTAATAGCGATAGTGATAGAAAATTTAAATTATTCTAACGTTAACAGTAATTAAATATTAGCAAATTAAGCCCAAAAGCTTAAAGAATTGAATTTCTTGATAATTTAGTATGGGTTTAGTAATAGCAATAGTGATAGAAAATTTAAATTATTCTAACTTTAACAGTAATTAAATATTAGTGAATTAAGCCCAAAAGCTTAAAGAATTAAATTTATTGATAATTTAGCACTATATATATATTAGCATTTTTGAATCATAAAGTTTAGAATAATAAATTTGATTTCTTATTAGTAAAATAGTAACGTTAACAATAATTAAATATTAATAAACTCGAATATTAATAGGTCAAATTGTCAACTCTTTCCACTGATCATCAAAACACAAAATTTCCAGAAATAAATTTTAACAAAAAATATAAAAAACACACAAAAGTCATTAAGAAACTAATCTCAGGCTCCTAAGTAAAGAGGAAGAGAACAACAAGAAACACTCAGTTTTTTAAGAGACTTGAGTAAGAAAAACAGAAGCAGCAAAGAAATAGGAGAAGTTGTGAAAAATCGTTAATATTTTTTTGCACTTTGCGAACTTTGGGGGAATTGGCCTTGATCCATATAGGATAACTTTCTTATGATTGGTCGATCACATGAAATTGAATAACATGTTATAATTGGCCATCGGCGTAACATGTGACAATCAACCAAACTACATTATCTTTATAAATTTAATTCTTTATCATTATCGTTTCTTACTTTTATATATATACATTTTAAATATCTATCACGCCTTTTAAGAATCTATAGTTTATTATACGTGATTTTTGAACCTGTGCAGATAGAATAACTTTCTTGTACATGAAATTGAATAACACTACAATTGTTCTCTTTTTTTTTTAATTAATTATCGAATTTTTATTTAAAAAAAAATAATTTTATTAAAATTTTTAAATAAAAAATTATTGTTGTAATTCTTTAAGCTTTTGCAATAAACTATCAAGTACCGTATCTTCATTACTACCAATAATAATAACGTTATCATCATCTTCATTTGCTTCAATTATAAACTCTTCTGTTATATTTTCTTGTATCTCTCCCGTTATATTTTCTTAAACTCGGGTATCTTTTACATTTGTTTTTTTTTGTTTTTTTTTTTTTTTTTATCTTTTTCTTCTTGTGTTTCTGTTAGATGTACCAGTAACTGATCCACATTTACTTGTATTCTATTTTTCAAGAATTTGAGGCAAGGTAGACACTTTTGACAATTTCTTCTAAACACTCTACATGATATTTATGACCGCACGCTAGTATTTTCAAATTAAAAGATAATAAATTAGTGTAGATGTATATATCAGTTTTAGTATATAATGAATAATCACACAAAACGGATTGATTAGATTTTTGTGAAGTGCTAAAACCTAGAGGAAGGTGTTGAATATTTGCAACAATACCAATAGCTGGCATTGATATATTAGTAGCATTCACAAGTTTTCTTTTCTTTTTTCCTTCTAACAATATTGCGGGCTT